AGCCCAGAGGTTGTTTCAGGCTATCCATTGATTTCTATTAGTCTAAGTGGCTCGAGCCAAGAGGGACTGATACATTCCCCTGCTTCATGTCCTTGCTACGAATCTGACCCCTAATGTCTGGTAAGGTAAGCCTTTTGAAATATTCCGAGGTGGAGAAGGGAAAAAAAAACACTCGAGTTGGTTTTACAGTGATTTGTGGGACTGTTTAAAGGGGACGAAATAGACGCGACCCCTAAAATTGCCCCACGATGCACTGCAATGCCAACTCGACCCAGTTTTCCCCGCAAACTCGGAATGGCTAATTCTCTACTTTCACATCCCCATAATGCCCTGCGTCTTTGGGGGATAACCAATCAAAAAACTGTCCCAAATTGAAAGGTTTCTTAATTGAATTTATACTATACCTGCTTTTATCTGTACAATACCGATTATTAGTTTATTCCAAGTTATTTTTGCGTGTAAAGATCATCAAGAGTTTTGGTCTTACAAAAAATGAATTGACTTACGAAAAAAAAGTTTAAAATTTACCTTAAACGTCTTCAAGCTTCTATCTTTTTCCTTATTTGTACTTCTTCATTTTATTTTTGGATACCAACAAGGTATTGTCAACATTGTCTGATCAGCCTTCAGCAAAGTAAGTGGGTTTTTACCGTCTGGTTACCCCCCAAAGACGCAAAGTATTAAGGGGATGTGAAAGTAGAGAATGCTATCTAACCAGACGGGTTTGCTTCACAGGGACCCCACTCCTAGTGAATTATAATATCTACATATCTATGGGGGTTAGCAGGTCAAGGTTATTTATAAAGTGCTGTTGATCTATTCAAGGTGCAGGGAATATTTATCAAGACAATCAGTGCGGGAAGCGTCGCAGAAAAAGATGGTCGACTGAAGGTTGGAGACCAGCTACTGAAGGTAATATCCAGTGATAAGACAGTCCTATCTCTTTCTCTACTCTTGTATTTCCTCATGAAAATCTTCACTAAATCAGTTGACAAAACTCTCCTTTTTGTGATCTATATTGGAACACATTTACGCATTTTAATATGCACCTTTTTAGAGATGTTGTTACCCGTTACTTGGCAATAATTTACGCATTTCTATTAACTTTTTTAAAGGTCTTGATACCTGTAGCAAACCCTTGAGCCTAGTAGATAGTTTGTCTATAAGCCAGCGTTTTCATTGCTGAGTATTTCAGAGGTAGATGAGTGTTAATCGTAAATAAGTTGGCGCACTGATTTACGCATTTATATTTAATTTTTTTAAGAGGTTCTGTTACCCGTAGCGAACCCCCAAGTCAAGTGAGTCTATATTTTCGACAAGCTAGCCTTTCATTGCTAAGTTTTTCAGAGGGTAGATTAATGTCAAATATCGTAGCTTGAATCTTGTATGAAGGCTCATCTCGTCTTGGTAATCCAACCTGGATTAGCATTAGTCAGGGTCTCAGGACAACGGTATTTTCAGTTATACACCCTGGTGTTCACTACCGATGCAAGCATAAACAAGACGACACACGCTAGCTCGGATAGTTTTTTATTGAACACTATTGAGAAACGTAATGAATAATAACGAAACTTGAACTTAATTTACGTACCTGACGAAGAATCACTCTGGAGTCGAAAATTTGTAGTAAATTTAATAACGTTTTAGATCTGCAATAACAATTTATTTTTTTATGTAGCACTTAAAGGTTGACTAGAAATTTTTTCGACGGAAATTTAAAGGGGTTAACTTACTTGGAAAGAATACTCGATCTGGCTTGCATATGTCGTGAAAGTCAGGATTATTTGGAGTCGGACCTCTGGTTTTGCGCTGCCCTTATTCCGCGCCAAAATTAATATCGCTTTGCGGCTCTTACTTTTTTGGTTAGTTTATGCAAAAGCCTTTAAATTCCAAACGAAACAGCTCGAAAAAACAGCGCGTTTTCGCGAAGAGTTAAAAAATCGTTGTATTCTACAAGTAGAATGCCGATACCATATGTGTCCGCGAAAAAGTCAACTAACAAAATTGTACAAATTAGTGCAAAGTTTTGTAGGTCTCTGGTCTACTGAGCTCTACTGAACTTACTAATTGGTACAAATGTGTGTAATGCAATTTCTTCCAAATGTTTTCATGGATATATTATGCATTCTAATGTGGATACTCATTTGATTATCATTGATGGTTGTGGTTGCTAGGTGAACGATGAAGATGTTTATGGTCTTAGCCATGCGAGGGTGATTGGAATGTTGAGGAAAGTAACCACCACAGTCAGCCTGGAGATAAGAAGGTAAGATAAGAAACTTGATGTTCATTTTTGTCGTGACGTATCGCTTTTTAATGATCGTTAATTAAGTATTCAAATAGTCGAGGTTTCCTCGCATCTTTTTCTCTTCTTTTCTCTTCTCTTCTCTTCTCTT